TGTGCCCTCCGGGGGCGTGGAGCGGCCTCACGGGTTGGCCCGCGGCGAGGAGAGCCTTGACGGCTTCTGCGCGTTCCACAACGGCCTGAGGAATCCCGGAGAGCTGCCCCACATAGTGTCCGTAGCTTTGTCTCGCGCTGCCGGGCCTCAGCCTAATGACGGAGAGAGAAAATGGGGAAGGCGTACGTAAGCCTGCCGGCTTGGCGGTTGCTGCTAGGGATGGCGCAGTGGAGGGAAGGGCGTACTTGTACAGAAAGACGACATCTCGTTGGGCGTCATCTTCCTTGACAAAGACGTCCATGTGCACGAAGGAGAGGGCGCGGGTCTCCGGCAGAAGGGTTTGGTTGTCGAAATACTCGCCGAGATGAGTGCTGACGATGGCCTTGGGGGTTTCCTCGCGCGATAGCAGATGGTGAAGTGCTCCGCCCAGTACCGACACGCCATCAACGACGTTGGTCCCCTTGCCGAATTCGTCCAGAAGCAGCAGAGACCGGCCCGTAGCATGGCGCAGCATGGCGGCCACTTGGTTGAGATCTTCACCAGACCGACCCATTAGTGATGCCGCCAAAAGAAAGTTGGCAAGCCATACCAATCATGAAGCTCGAGACCTGGACTGATGCCGTTTCTCTGGAGACAGACAATAAGCAGTGTGCATACTACTTGTCCGGCCCTCAAGAGAGGGACGTACCTGCTGTAGATGCGGGAGAAAATTTGGTCCGTGAGTCCGATCGTGGCCTCATCAGCCGGTACAAAGCTCCCGATGTGAGCCAAGAAGACAATGAGCCCCACTTGTTTCAGATACACTGAAAGGAAGGCGCTTAGAACATCCGTCTCACACACAAGTACTAATGGCCGTTCACATTAATGAGGGGTACCTGATTTCCCCGAGCCATTCGCACCGGAGAGGAGCAGCACGTGGCTGTCGTCCCCTACAGCCACATTAGTCAGCTGGCTAATCGCACACGGCGAAGGATGTTTGGGTTTTATCGCACCACCAAGTTCCGCGTCATTTGGGATAAATGTTCCTAGATCGTCACACAGCTCTTGCAGAGGATGGCGCCCATTCTGAGACCGACAGATTAGCCTTCGGCGGCAGCTGGCGGGAGCAAATAAAAGGTACCTTGATGCGGATGCAGTTTGATTCGCAGAGTGTCGGCGCGCACCACTTGTACTGGTTGGCGCACGAGGCCATCGCAGCAATGCTGGGGCGGGAAAAACTCACGAATAAGTGGGTTCATATGCGGTGCTTGGGTGGCGAGGGGTGTCTACCAATCCAGTTCAGCTACAAGGTTTGCCACTTCAGAGAGCTGAGCCACTTGTGCAACAACCATGGCCTCCAAGGCGAGGATGAGCGAAGTCTCCGTGTCTACTTGCCACAATTAGCTTGACGATCGCTTTCTCTGGCTGTTAGTCAGTACCTGTTATTCTTCCCCATATGTCTGTGCGCCGGATGCGAGAGTGAGCGGATAGGAACTACCGTTGCGGCTGAGAAAGGACGCACCTCCGAGTTCGTCGCTCTGGTCGAGTTCTCTCATGAAACTGTTCTTGAAATAGGCGTACTTGGTCGTGTGAAACTGTGCGCTGTTATAAATCTGGTCTGGACGCGACTGTGAAGCATGAGACGCAAAGTACCTGATACTCGAGAGTGGCGCATTTGACCAATTCGCCTAGCGCCACGTCAGGTCTCTGCGGTATGACCACTTGATAGCCCACCTGCTTGCGCGAGTTAGCCAAGTGCATAAACAAGGTTACCGGCCGATGTGTTACCTGGGGGTAGTAAACGATCGATAGGCTCGTAACCAACGGACTGGCCAGCGTGGTTAGCTCTTCCTTGGCAAACGAAGTCTGAATGAAGATGAGGTTTAGCACCCGCTCTGACGCCACACTCAGATTGCACTTGAGCATGTCGGGTCCAGACGTACCAGCAAGCTGTCGAGATTCTGGTAGATGCTCCTAGTGCGGTAAAAGAAAGGTAAAAACGGGATAAAGCACGAAAATGTCGTCGTACCGCAGCTCGTCCAGTGAGGGGCACACACCCTCCTTGATGGTGAGACGGCCGAACTCCTTCGATGCCTCGAAGTCTATCGTTGAAGCGAGCGTATGCACCAAATCATAGAGGGGCTCGTTGAAGCTCGCCACAACCTGAAAGAGTGTTAGTTTGCTCCGAACGCTTTGTCCATAAGCTGCGCACGTTACAAGGCTACCTGCTTGAACAAACGAAGCTCGTGTGGCTCGCAGAGCTCCTTGATTCGAATACACCCGATCAAAGATTGGAACAGACCTGTCCAATCTGAAACAGACGAAGAGGCCGCCTGGATTCTGGCCGTGCATGTGAGTGTGGTCCCAAGGCGGGCGCTGTTGGCTAGGTCAGAGATTACCTTGTGAGGAGCCGCGGGACGTCTTTGATATATTTGGCCGCCACAGTGCCTATTTCCTGCAGCGTGGCACCGTCTCTTGTACGGGTCAAGTAGTCGATGTGCTGCAGACGGTCATGGAGGAGCGCGGTTGTCGTCTGAGGCAACAAGAACCACTTCCTGATGTCTCCATGTTTAACAAAGCTGACAGAACGCATAATGAAAGAACCATACCTTAACAGGCGCTTGCCCAGTGGCGTATGTGGGCGATAGAGCGAGAATAACGAAAAGCCTTCCTTCGGCTTACCGATACCGTGCGAGCTGTGGCACGTTGAGAATTAGGGTCGAACGCAATAGAGGCGCAGTACTACGGCGTACCTGGGGTGGGTTTCGGTACTGAAAACGGACAGTGCCTGGAGGAGTAGAAGGGATGTGAGAAATATGCAGCAGTGAAATGGGCGAGGCTCATACCTTGAGCGTATCCATGTCGATCCGCATGGCGCCCGCTACGGGCAACAGCGAGAGCTTGCCTATAGCTATCGGCTCGTCGTTGGACTCGAGCTCATTGACGATCTAGAGATGAAAGGGTTTACTTGCACCTCCTATGTGGCTTGCATCGATGCTTAACACGTGGAGGGCTGAGGAGGGCTTACTCTGCTCTTAAGAAGGTGGAAAATGAGGCCGCCCAAGCTGCGGACCTACCATGCAAAGAGAGTGAGTATGCATGATTGCACCAGCACAAAGGTGGCGGTGAACCATTTGCGTTTGATCGAGCGGCACGAGAGATGAGAAAAACTGTAGCCTGTCCTGCTGCGTAAGGTCGGATGGCATGCCGGGTAGCTTCAGCAAGAGCATCTTCCGCTTGGAAGCCTCGTAAGCGTATTCACTAGACTTGATAAACTCGACGGGGAAGATGTGTGTCTCATTCTCCACTGCGTGCATGGTCAATCACTCATATGCCACGCTTGCGAGATTGCGATCAAAATGATGGCTACGGTACCGTCTTTCGTGAGTGCATCAACAAAGTGTTCGCACCGACCTGCTGAGCTGCAAAGATAGGTGGGATCAGGCGGCGCATACTCTGCTAAGTCCGGGAAGCGTACTTACCTGTTTGTCACGATCAAGGTCGGCTGCACTTGAAATTTGACTGCGGTAGGGTAAACGGGTAAGCACAAAGAGTTCTTGAAACTGTCGGTGGGAGCCTTCGTACGTAGCTGAAGACGAGAGAAATCTTCCTCATGCTCAAAGACCTCGCACAGGCTGAGTTCGCTTGTTGATTCGCTGTATGCCGCCTTTGGCCGAAGCGTGAGCTCTACAGGAGGTAGGGGATGGGAAGAAGTTCTTACCACACCAAGCCTGGCGAACGAGCAAAGGCGAGACAGCAAGTGAGCAATGTGGACATCAGAAAAACTGCAACCACGATGCACAGAGCCTTGTTGGTACCTGTTCTGGCAATAAACGACCGACATGATGACCTGGCACCCACGCCCATATTCAGCCAGATTTCAGAAACGTAGAAGAATGGAAGGTGTACCCGTTCTTGGCCCTGTTCACTTTCCGGCCCCACTCGAGGAGACCGTACTGCCGGCCGCGCTGCAAGCTCCTCATCATGGAGATCGAGCAGCATGGATCCTTCAGCATCCATCTTGCTCTGCTCTACGTCGCGTGTCGTAGTGCGTGCTCACACGAAGAAAGAGCGCAGCGGGCGTACGGGCACGACACCATGGCGGCCTGCAACGTTTGCCTGCGTTTGTGTTGGCGCCACACCCCTTTTTAGTCGCATTTTCTCCTTTCTTTTCTCTTGGCCTTGCACAGGTTCGAGGAAAAGAGTAGTGACCTTTTGTCATCTCCGCCTCGTCAGGTTCTCCACGTTCGAGAGGTCCTCCTGCATACATCTGCTCCAGAAGCGTTGTTCCATCAACCAAGCACAGCACACGCCATGAGCACTGACGACGCCTCCTCGCTCAATCCTGCGGCTGCCGATCTCGATAGCCTGGTCGCTCCGGAGGATGCCGTAGCTGCTCCCGAAGGAGAGACCAAAGGTACTCTTGAATCCTCTGGCCTCTGCACTCCCAATTATCTCTCTCTTTCGCGCACGATTTTTGGTCAAATTTATGTGCCAATCTTAATCTTAATCTTTCCTACCTTCCTTTCCGATCGTGTTGGCTCGTCGCAGAGCTGGCGGCCTTCACCATCTCTGTGAAGACTCTGCACGGAGGGAGCGTGTCGCTGCAGGTTAGTCCTCTGGATACGGTGCAGGACGTGAGGCAGTACCTCTTTGAAACGCCGGAAGCCTCCGACCTCACCTCCTACACGCTCCTGCTCGAAGGCAAGCCCATCAACGACTATGCCGAACTGTCCGAACTTCCTCACTTGAGGCCTGACTCCTCTTTGGTCATGGCGCCGGGTACTTTGCCCCCACCCCCTCCGGATGTCGCCCCAGTCGTATCTTGCCTCGATGCGTTGTCGCCGGAGGGCCGCCCTTTCTGACATCTGCGCGCTCCCCCCCCCCCGGTTGTGCCATCGCAGCGGCGTACAACAAGCGGACGTCGTTGCTGCACATCAGGCGGCTTCGGGAGATTTTGAGTTTCCATCTGGTCAACTTTGCCAACACGCCCTCTCCTTCGCTCTTCTCGCACTACTGCCCCGCCGATGAAGAGGAGGAGACTCGCGAGCCTGCTGTGGCGGACCAGGGCACGGCTGCCAAGGGGAGCAAGCCCGCCGGCGGGAAGAAGAAGAACGGCGGAGCGCAAAAGCCCAAGGCTGGCGGCAACGAAAGCGGCAACAGCTCCAAGGCGGCGGCCACCACCGCCAAGGGCAAGCGCAGCGAGGATCTCGTCGACCTCAAGTCTCCCATGTCACTGCAGAGCTTCTACCCGAGCGTGAGCGCAAGCGAGCCCCAGTGCGTGAAGAGCATCGAGTTTGCTGGCTGGAACCCTCCGCCCGGCAACCGAGCCCTGTTGGGTGCGTTCTCACAGCCCCCCCCCCCGCACCACCAGCCACCACGAGCGCATTCACGATCGCCAGCCGCCGGAAAGCGCCCTTTCGAGCCCCCCCCCAAAGCGATTTTCTCCTCTCATCTCCTCTTCTCCTCTTCGCCTTTTCTTTGTGGAACGGTGTCGTGCGGTGGCTTGGGCGTGTGCAGGTGATCTCTACTACCTGCAGGTCACTACCCTCGAGGGTGCGACCATTTTCATTACTTCGTGGACCCATGGCTTCTACGTGAACTGCTGCACCGAGACGACCTTCAACCCGAAGCCCGCTCCCAAGTCCTGCTCCTCCCACAGCTTGTCGGGCGTACTGTCGCAGGTAGGATCCTCTCCGTTCCTCCGCGCCACTGCCGCGCGACTTTCGTTTTCACACACTGCACCGGTGTCACCACCTAGGTGAGCCCTCAGTTCAAGAAGAACTTCCAGCACGTGCTCAAGAGTGGCCAGTTCGGGCGCCACCCTTTCGAGCTCATGCCGGTTCCGATCCCGCTCACCCCGTGGGTGGGCCTCGACACGCCCCACGTGAACGACAAGAACCGCGCCGAATACGCTGTCCTCTACACCGAGATGGAGTACGCCTCCTTCCTCCTCTGGATCATGATCCGTCGTGCCCTTGTTCGTTTTTGAGCACGTGCCTCGCAACACGTACATTGGGGGGAGGCGAGGCAAGGGCGATGATGGCGATGGTGGCGATGATGATCATTGGCTCATGGTTATGCGCGGTGTTCGCCCGTGTATACAGCTTCGCCGGCAACATGCGCGACTGGAACGAAGAGTATCAGGCCTGCAAAGAGTTGCCATCCGGTACCGTCCAGGAGAGAATCATCCGCGATCGTGCTGTCCTCAAGGTCCACAACGATTTCGTTGACGCCGCCACGCGTGGCGCCATGTATGTACACCTCTTTTGACCCGTTTCCCCGTCGTGCACGGCGTTGCCCCCCCCCAATAATCTCACCTGGTGCGGATGGTGGCTGGTGGCTGGTGCATTTCAGGGCGATCGCCAATCAGGCGGTGCCTCCCATCAACCCGCACGAGGAACCCCGCATGCACCTGTTCGTCTACAACAACATCTTTTTTTCCTTCTGCTACGACCACCGCGACCCCGACTTCAAGCCGCTGCAGCCCCCGACGCCCACCACAAAGGACGCGGCCATCAAGGACGAGGACAAGGACAAATACGCCGAACAGGCCACCTACGTGTCTGCCAACAACGACCTCAAGGGCATCAGGTGGGAACACACGCCCACCACGCCTCTCCTCCCTGTTCTGCTCGCGGTGAACTGACCACCTCCACTCCTCCACCGGTGCGCGCACCCACAGGCTGTACAACGACGCCGACGTGTCTGGCCTCGGAACAGTGCTGACAGCCGTGGTGGACTATCGCGGCTACCGACTTCTGGCGCAGAGCCTCATTCCTGGTTCGGGCTCGCCTCCAAATCCCCCCCCCTCTCTTCCAATTACCAATTCTCCGACCCCGCGTTGGGTGCACACTACACGCGTGCTTGCTAAGCCGGTGATATGCGTCGGCGGTGTGCAGGCGTGCTGCAGAGAGAGGAGACGAACCTGGCCTACGGGTCGATGGACAACGGTAAGACCGTCCACGCCGACCCGCAGTTCCACGAGCTCATGCGCAAGGCCGCCCTGCACATGCACATCAAGGAACACGAGCTCACCGACGGATCGGGCAACACGGGTACCTGGCAGCCTCACCCCCCCACCACCACCACCACCTCCAATTCCTCCCTCGCCTTTCTTTCTGCTTCTCTCGGCCTGTGGTGCCTGCCCGCCTGCCCAACCCTCATCGTGATGTCGCTGGTGCACCGGCCTTCCAGCCCAGTTGGCGTGCCCCATCAACGCCAAGGGCATCGTCGGCACGGATGGACGCCGCTACCTCATCGACCTGGGCAGGGCCACTCCTCTCGACACCAACTGGAGCGATGCACCCGTTGAGACCCAGCAATCCGAGGAATCCGTACTCTCCTCAATCTCCCCCCCCCCCTCAATCTTCCCCCTCGTTCAAATGGGAGCGAAGCTGCCTCGGCAATACGCACCGGCCCTTTGGTTTGGTTTTTGGTTTGGTTTGTGTGGCAAACAACCGGTTGCGATCAGATCGCTGACGACGATCGTTCGGCCGTGTCGGTCGCCTCGTCGTCCACACATGGGCAGGGGCTGGTGCTGCATCCCTCGAGCGAGCCTCTTCTCCGACCCGAGCTGGTCTCGGTCTTCTGCGACGCGCTGGAACTGCGTCTCCAGCACCAGGGAGGCGACAACCCCAACCTCACCATCGTGCTCAAGGAGGAGGCGGCCGCAGCGGAGGGCGAAAGCGCCAAGGCCACCACCATCGACCTCTCCTCGGCCGTCAAGGTCATCCACGACGAGCCCGCTACTGCCGGTTCCGAGAAGCTCGTGAGCGAGGAGGTCGAGCAACCGTCCGCCACAGTCACCAAGGAGACCAAGGAGGAGGAGGAGGAAACCGAAGCCAAGGGCCAGGCCGAGGCCGATGCGGCGGCGGCGGCGTCGGAGGAAAAGAAGGACGGCAAGCGCTACGTCATCACCATCAACCCCAACGTGCTGCACGCCCACGCCAACTTCACGCTCACCGCCCCCAAGGAAGAAACCGAGAAGGACGAGGCCCTTGTCAAGACCCTCAGCGCCTTCCTCAAGGACAGCATCCTGCCCCGCATGGTTCGTTGTTCTCTCTTCTCTCTCTCAATTTTTATTCTTCCCCTTTGGCCCTGCGACTTGTGCTGACGCGTGTTTTCTTTTCTTTTTCTTTTGGGCGTTGGACAGGCCGAGGAGTTTGTGCACCTGCTCTCTACGCCCGTCGATGGCCAAACGCTGGCGTCGATCATGCACAGGAACGGAATCAATCTGCGCTACCTCGGCCGCCTCGCCAACCTCTGCAAGGGCCGCCCGTTCCTCGTGGTACCCCCGCCCCGCCCCATCCACCGACAGCCACACACGACACACGACGCGCGCGACGGGAAAAAGGGGAGAACTGACCCGTGGGGGGGGGGGTCGACCCACGCGAGTGCAGCGCCTCTGCGAGCAGGAGATGATCGTGCGCGCGGCCAAGTATGAGTTCAACCGGTATCTGCGTGAGACCGAGGACCACCTGCTGAGCTTCGCCATCTCCCACTTCCTCAATTGTCTCTTTGGCGACGCCAAGGCTCTCCCGGAGGGCGTGGACCTCCACACTTTCGAGGACGACGCCACCGCCCCGGATGGTGCGTCTGGCCATTCCAACGGAGTTGCCACCACCACCACCGGCGGCGGCGGCGGCGGCAAGAAGAACAAGAAGAACAAGGGCAAGGGCGGCGAAACGGCGCACAAGTCGCTGGCCACTCTGCCCAAGGCCAAGATCTTCGCCCTCACCTCGCAGCAGCTGTGGCAAACCCTCCAGCAGCTTGTGCAGAAGCGGTTCGGCTACGACATCTCGCTCAAGGGCGGAGCCGTCATCCCACGGAACCCTGCCGGTACCACCTGCGCCCGCGCTCTTGCTCCCTCCATGTGCACACCTCGTCGTCGTCGTCGTCGTCGTCGTCGCATGTCTTCTCCTTCTCACTCCTCCTCCCGCCGGGTGGCAGGAGTGGACGAGGCGACGCTGAACACCCGCCAGCGACTAAGGTCGTTGGCCGGCGTGCGGTCGTTCTGCCAGAAGGTGGGCATCCAGGTCGTGGCGCGCAACTACGAGCTGTCCTTCAACGAGCCCTTCAAGCGCAGAGACATCCTCGACGTGTTCCCTCTCGTCAAGCACCTCAACGTACACTCACCCACCTCCACCTCGATAGGGGGGGAGAGACTCACGGCAGCTGGCCGGTGCTTGTCGGGCGTGGGGGTGGGTGTGCAGCCCAAGAGCAAGGACGGGCAGCAGCTGCTGGACGCCGGCAAGGTGTTCCTGGGCCAGGGGCGTCTGGACGTGGCCTTCGAGCTGTTCAACGAGGCCCTCGCCATCTTCCACCAGGTCTACGGACCCCTCCACCCGGACACCGCTCTCTGCTACGGGTGTGTGCTCCTCTCCCTCTCCCTCTCCCTCTCCCATGGGGTGCGGATTTCTGCCGTAGCGTCTACTCATTGGTCCCCGGTGGGATGCGCGCCGCGTTGCATTGGATGAAGGAATCTCGCGATGGTGCACTACCATGCCAACGACACAGCGCAAGCTCTGGTCCACCAGAAGAAAATGGTGATCATCAATGAGCGCGTGCACGGCCTCGACCACCACGACACCGCCCACAGCTATGTACGCTCTCCCTGCCTCCCTGCCTCCCTCCCGCATTACCCACCGCCGCCGCCGCCGCCGCCGCCGCCGCCACCACCCACGACTGCCCACAAACGGAACCAAATAATATATACCAATATATATATATATATTATTTCTATATGAACCAAATAAGACACGAACCAAGAGCTATTTTCTATCCTTTTTCATATGCCGCGGCTGAAAGCTTTCGGCGGCCGCCTCTCGTTCTCACTCTCCGCTGGTGGTGCGGTGCAGGGTAATCTGGCGTTGTTCACGAGGGACCTCAAGAAGGACACCCTGATCCCGGCTGCCCTCAGGTGCCTCCAGCGCGCCCACTACCTGGCGTCGCTTGTCTGCGGACCCCACCACCCGGACTCTCCCAACACCCTGGTACCTACCCCCGATACGGCCACGCATGCGCGCACACGCGCGCCTTTCATCCGCATGAAGCTGGTGGTGGGCGGGGCGCGCGCTGATGGTCCGCATTGGGCTGTGTGTTGTGTCGTGTCGTATGTCGTGTGACACGTCAGATGCACATGGGCACCATGTACCAGGACATGGGGCGTGCCGAGGTGGCGCTCAAGTACTACCAGGAGGCCCTCAAGAGCAACCAGTACTTCTTTGGCACCGAGGAGAACCTGCAGACCGGCCAAATGTACGCCGCATCCCTCTCTCACCTACTCCCCACCCCACCCACCCCACCCCACCCTCTCTTCCACGCCCCTCGGACGGTACCGTGGCAGACACACCACTCACCCCATACCTCCGCCTCCGCCGCCGGCGCCGCCTCCTCCTCCTCCTTTGTTCCGCTCGACTCCGCAGCTGCCACTGCATCGCACTCGCGCATAGCACACTCGACAACTTCAAGGAGGCCCTCAACTGGGAGAAGAAGAACTACACCATCCTCTCCAACCTGCTCGGCGAGAAGGATTTCCGCACCAGCGAGTCCAACATTTGGCTCAAGCAATTCACCCGCAAGGCCGTCCAGGTACGCGCCCGTCCGTGCATACACCCACCCACCCACCCACGTCGTATACGACGGCCGCCGCCGTCATCGCCACCGCCACCGCCACCGCCATCACCTCCTCTTCCCGCCCCACGAAGGGCAACTTCTCGCCACTCATACCACTCCTCTCCACTCCAGATGCAGATCGAAGCGAAGAAGGCCCAGCGGGACATCACCAGCAACCTCTCCCAAGAGAAGTTCGAGAAGCTCACCCAGCAGGCCGGCGCCGCACGCGCCTCGGCCGGCGGCAGGGGCAAGAAGCCTGCCTCGTCATCCCTCCCTTCGGCCGCCCAGGCCAAGCCGGCCTTCAAGATCTGAGGGGAACCATTACAACCGCGGTGGTGGTGGTGGTCGCTCGTGAGGAAGTCAAACGCAAGAAGAATCAGATTTTTTGCGCAACCGGAAAAAAAAGGCAAAAAAATCCGTTGATCGAAAATTTCAGATTGGATCCAAATCACTCCTCGCATGTATGGAAGAAGGAACCAGCCTTCCTCCTGTCCTCTTCCTCACCGGCGAAGATGAGGACGATGACGAGGATGAGGAGTACATACAGAGTCCCCAGGTGCAGCACCACCCCATCCCACCCTTGACGCATCTTCTTACCCCCCAAACCACATCTTCGGCAGGCTGCGAGTGGTGAGGACGACTATGACGAAGGCCCGGCGGCAGCAGGCGGGGTTCTAGGGTGCGTGGTGGAGGAGGATGAAGAGGCCATCGCACACCGCACCCGAGGTACGGCCTCGAGCGTTTTCCCCTCTTCCCCTCCACGCCATGGCGTGGTGTAATGCCCTGCCATGTGGCTGACTCTGCGGTGGGCTGTCTGTATTTCTGTTTGGATGGCAGCGCGCTACCGGGTGGAGGACATCGACTGGGCGGCACTCGATGGTACACTCCTCCCGCTCTCTTTTTATAGCTCTGCCCCTCCCGCCCACTTCGGCGCCGATGCCACTATGGTGGAGAGGGAGGAGGGTACGAGATGGCTACTACGACTACTACTACTACTGAACTTCTCTCTCTCTTCTCTCTCGGGGTGGGTGGTGGGTGTGGCGGGGAACAGCGTTGTTGATGCAGGAGTGGCACGAGGAGGAGGAGGCGGCGGCGTCGGGAGCCGACGAGGCAGATCCCGCCCTGGAGGAGTATATCCACTTCCTCTCCTCCCTGCAGCACGTCGACCACGCCGCCCTCGCAACCGGTACCCGCGCTGCTGCTGCCGCCGCCGCCGCCGCCGCCGCCGGGTGGTGGGCGGCACAGTCGCGTAGCTGAGCAGGGACACGTACCACATCTACCACAGAGGCGGCCGGTGAGAGCGGGGCCAGGGGAGGCGGGGAGGAGGAGGAGGAGGAGGAGGAGGAGGAAGACAACGACCCCGACTACCGGGAAAGCGAGAGCAATGACGGAGAAAGCCACGCCCTCCGGGCC